CTGTAAAAATACCATACATTAACACCCACACGTCCAGAGGGTTTGGGAAAAAGGGGGTTGGGAAAGCTATACTTCGGACGAAAAACGACGGAAACCCGAACCCAGTCATTGAGTGTAATGGTTGGCACCATCCAATAACCCGTTTTAGTGCATATTTGGGAACGGAAAATGGGCCTCAGATTGATGGAATGGCGTCCTGGAGGGGCAGATACTCGTGTTGAGTGCTGATCACTACTCCCCATTTCGTCTTCCGCCATCGTGATGTGATGAGGGGTTAGCAGCAACCTGGCTCAAGGGGGAGAGAAGAGACAAAGTGCTGGTACGGTTTTAAAGCTCTCGGGGATTCTAGCGGATGATGTCTTTATCACTTCTGGTACCTTGGTTTTCTGTTACTGCTTCTACTTACAATACTAATACTGCTACTACTACTAGTAGTACTGTTAATGTTACTATTACAGTTACTATAACTCTTGCTGTTACTGCTGCTACCACTGCTACTACAGTACTGTTATTTCTACTACAGGAATTACTATTTCTACTCTTAGTACTTAGTACTCCTGCTACTACTATCAAAACCTTACTGCTACTAATGCTATAACTAAAAAGACCTTACTTCTGCTACTACTACTACCACCAAAAACTTCTGTAACTACTACCATGACTACTATCACCACTGCTACTATCAATATATTACTGCTCTTTTTTCTGCCATTACTACTACTGTAATCTAATGTTACTACTAATGCTCATCTTATTACAACTACTACTATTACTGCAACTACTACTGTTACTATTACTACTACACTACTACGCATTACCATTGCAGTAATATTATTACCATTACCACTACCACCCTACTACTTTAGTATTATATTATCGTTGCTATTTTGCTCCTTGTAACAGTATCCCTAATATCATGGAGTAATAAAAATACCGATATCATAAATATTCTTACCACTACTGCTGCTTAAATAACTAGTACAGACTTGCTAATACCTGAAACGAGAATTCTTACACTACAGAGTGAAAAAAAGTACCTGGTAAAAAGAAGGAAAAAAAAGGTCGACAACGACGCTTGGGAAAACACACCTTATCCGGGGGTCAAATTGCAATCTTTGCTGAGCCCTTGCATAATCATTTTTTGCTAATGTGATATACAGGTGTATGGGCGAGAGGATGTACGCTCCTGCTGAACGCGTCTTTTTTCTCCTGGAATTTCTCCTTAATTTCGCTCCACCTAATGAAGGTTCGGTTAAAACTATTATCGCTCTCATTACTATTGTTTTTAAAAGAAATGGGAGAAAAAAAAAACACGTTTTTCGTTTCACCACTTTCTGCTCGTCCAAAAAAAAAGCTTTGCCTTCTGAACACCGCGCAGAGGAAAGGCCTTAACACGGATTCACTTGTGGACTTCATGTCGAACAAATTGTAACAGGAACAACGAAGGGAAGAAAAAAAGCGAATATACCTGAACAGCGAAGGGAAGAACAAAACAAATACGAATATGCAGGAACAACGAAGGGAAGAAAAAGAAAAAGAATGAACAACGAAGGAAAGAGCAAGAAACACACGAATGTAGGAACAACGAGGGAAGAACAAGAACACACGAATATGCAGAACAACGAAGGAAGAACAAGAAAACAGAAGAAGGAAACAACGAAGGAAGAACAAGAAACACACGAATATGTAGGAACAACGAAGGGAAGAACGAGAAAACACACGAATAGGAAGGAACAGCGAAGCGAAGAACAAGAAAACACACGAATAGGAAGGAACAACGAAGGGAAGAACGAAAAACACACGAATATGAAGGAACAACGAAGGGAAGAAAGAAAACACACGAAAGGAAGGAACAACGAAGGGAGAACAACAAACACACAATAGGAAGGAACAACGAAGAATAAGAAAACACACGAATAGGAAGGAACAACGAAAGGAAGAACAACAAAACACACGAATAGGAAGGAACAACGAAGGGAAGAACAAGAAAACACACGAATAGGAAGGAACAACGAAGGGAAGAACAAGAAAACACGCGAATAGGAAGGAACAACGAAGGGAAGAATAAGAAAACACACGAAATAGGAAGGAACAACGAAGGGAAGAACAAGAAAACACACGAATAGGAAGGAACAACGAAGGGAAGAACAAGAAAACACACGAATATGCAGGAACAACGAAGGGAAGAACAAGAAAACACATGAATTGAACAACGAAGGGAACACACGAAAAGAAACAACGAAGGAGAACAAGAAAACACACGAATAGGAAGAACAACGAAGGAAGAATAGAAAACACACGAATAGGAAGGAACAACGAAGGGAAGAACAAGAAAACACGAACAACGAAGGAAGAGAAACACACGAATAAGAACAACAAGGAAGAACACATGAATATGCAGGAACAACGAAGGGAAGAACAAGAAAACACACGAATATGCAGGAACAACGAAGGGAAGAACAAGAAAACACACGAATATGCCCATATTCGTGTGTTTTCTTGTTCTTCCCTTCCTTGTTCCTCCAGAGGCCGGATAGACTTCGCACAGACCCGGGTGGATCCGGTTCAGCATTGGCCGCTCGTTACGGAAGTGGAAGATTAGGCGGATCAATACCGTCGCTTGGATGACGAATTTCGCGCATTGATCTTGCGACTTATTTTGCGGACGACTTTCGCGAAATGGAGAGGCGTGCGGAGGAATGCAGGAGACGGCAGCGGAGGAGGAGGAACGACCCCTGTGTATGGTGTGGCGATCGGGCGCGCTTTACCATGCGTGTGTGTATTCGTGTAATGTGTCTGCGTGTCTTTTGTATGTGCTTATCATGGGTGTGTTTGTATTTGCAATAGTATGTATGCGATTGTGTGTGTGCTGCTCTGCATGCGTGTTTATGTGTGAGCATTTTTTGTGTAGGTGTATGCGCGCGCATATGTGTGTGTATGACCGTGCTTATGTACGCATGGATATACAAGCTCATGTGCGTGCACTCATCATGCCACACATAGTGCGAATTCCAAAGCATCTCCTTGACCGGGTGGGAGTCCTTCGGGAAATCAGAGGACCGAGAACTGAGGTTAATCCTTCTTCTTCCGGGTTGAGAAAGTCTTACCTATTCTGAAACTCTTGACGGCGTTAGCCAAGGGCGAGCTTGAGGAATGAAGGTGGCTGTACCATCGATTTTTTTTTTTTTTTTTTTGTGATTCATTTATCATCCTTACTGGCTGTACCGCTGTTTTTTTTTTTATGATTCATTTATCATCCTTACTGTTATCATCTCCATCGTCCATATCATTATCAATACTATTGCTATTGTTATTATTATTATTATCAATGTTAACATCTTTATGATCATTATTATTAGTGTTACGATCACTGTTATCAGTTATTGTTATTTTTGCTATTTGCTCATTATCAAATATTGTTGTCATAATTATTATTACTATTATTGTTATCATCATAATCATTTGACTCTTACTATTTACTCGTCACCCTTATTATCACATCATTATCATTAATAGTATTATTATTGTTATCCATTACAAAGTATTATTATTTGATGTTATTGCAGATTAGCTAATACATCTGACTAAGGACAGGTATGCGATCTTAATCTAGGCCTTTTATCTGCCTTATTGTTATTATTTCAATCCCTAGTAGTAATCGCGTTGGGAATGAGGAAGAAAATGAGGAAGAAGAAGTAAAAGAAGAGGATGAGGAGGAAGAAGAAGAAGAAGAGAGGGAGGAGGAAGAAGAAGCAGAAGAAGAGGAAGAAGAAAAAGAAGAGGAGGAGTAAGAAGAAGAGGAAGAGAAGGAGGAGGAGGAGGAAGAAGGAGGAGAGGAGGGAGAAAGAGGAGGAAGAAGAAGAAAAGGAGGAGGAAGAAGAAGAAGGAGTAGAAGAAACAGAAGAAAGAATTTACCTGATCAATGCCTGATATATTTGTTGGTGTCAGAGTGTAATTTCAACTTGATATTATGATGTCTAAAATATTTCTACTGATTAGTTTTAGGGTAGATATTGAATGCAAACACATACACACGTTTGTATGTGTTATAATATATATATATATATATATATATATATTATATATATATATATATATATATATAGATAAGATAGAGAGATAGATAGATAGATAGATAGAGATAGATATAGAGAGAGATATGTATAGATATATACATTATACAGTATACATATACATATACATATAATATAATACAATACATACATATATATATATATATATATATTATATATATATATATATATGTATATATATATATATATATATATATATATATATATATATATATATATATATATATGCATATATACATGTACATACACATATTATATATTCGCGTGTGTATGGAAATGCAGATACATAAAGATACATATACATATACAAAGTATATACATCCTCCTTCGCAAAGCAACCCGTCAAAAGTTCAGCCGACAAAGGCACTTAAATAATACCTATTTATACGGGATTGATGACGGCAAAACTTCCAGGCAATTTCCGTGGACAGTCGTCGAAATTGGGTTTTAAAATCCAATCATACTGTAATGGGTCGCGTGGCTCAATTGGCCTTGTCTTCGTGGTGCAATTGGATGACATTCGATTCCTTTTCTGGAGGGTACAGACGCACACACACACACACACACACACACACACACACACACACACACACACACACACACACACACACAACATATATATATATATATATATATATATTATATATATATATATATATATATATATATAATATATATAATATATATATAATTCAATTTTTGATAGGTATATGTAAATATATTCATACATAATTCACACAACACATACACAACACACACAACAACACACACACACACACACACACACACACACACACATACACACACACACACACACACACACACACACACACACACACACACACACACACACACACACACACACACACACACACACACACACACACACACACACACACACACACA